TCAGTAGTAACACACACACACACACATTCAGGAACGGCGTACTTTTGCTCTGACTCATCCAGTTCCGAATATATGTAATTCCTGACACTAAAACGATTTCTTTGCAGGAAATTAGAAACAAATGATAGGAGATTCAATTGGATACCTTGGATTGAATTTGACAATTTTACTTCCACCGAATGTGGCTAGATATAAGTTACCGTCACGATCGTTGGTCATTCCATCGAAAATATAGTCTGGTGTAAAGCCATTTTGAATGAGTGAATAGATTTGTCGTCCATTCGCTGTAACACAAAAGTTTTATCTCAGCAATTCAAGCTAATTCCAAATGAAAATAAAACAAGGGAATATTTACTCAAGTCGCCATTTTCTGGATTATAATCAAATTCCTTGATGTCGTAAGTGCATGAATCTGCATAATAGAATTTGTTCGTCTGTCGCACCCATGTCAATCCATTCGATATGGAAACATTGCCAAAGAATTTGTGCAAGCCTTTTAGTTTGTTATATTTATAGAATCCGCCAGTTGGCATACCACCACAAGGATCAACACTTTTAGTGCCTCCATAAAATCGACCGCGTTCATCAGTTTTTATATCGTTAATTACATTTGTTGCATTTTCTTTGATTTCGAAAAGTGTCCAGCATCTCTTAGCTTTTGCTGATCGACCATCCCAGTAGACGATCACCGCTTTCAAACCAATTCCAACCAGGAAATAGTTTTTGGCACAATTAATTGGTAAAATAAATAGTAGATTTGGAGCATCGTCGATGGTTGCCACATAAACTCGATTCTCATCATAATTGTAACGTAGAATTGACGAATTGTAGCCGGCTATATCCACATAGTATAAACTACGAGTCTTTGCATCCCAATGGGGCACTTCACCAACGGTTGATCGCGGCGATTTCAAAAGCTTGATTCGATATCCCAACTAACATCGGTAAAAAATATTTTAGTTTTTATGAAGTTTCATTGGGTTTCCTTTTAGAATTGTAAGAGGAATTAGAGCAGAAAATTGGAAAGCACAAGAAAAACGACTAAAAAAACCAGGCAAATATCTCAACTTACAACGGAACATGCGAAAAACGCTAGTGACCAGCAAATCAGATAAGTTAAACGACACATTTTCCACTTGCAATTAATTCAACCTCAAAAACACGATTGATTCATATGGTGAATCCGTGTAAAATTTGTAATAAAACAACTTAGCTATGGAAAGTATTTCACGAATTGTTTGAACAACCTTCACTGTTTGCCGGCAATCCACAAATATTTTCATAAGTTATTTATTCTTATTGACGGAGCCAGAACCATTGAATCACAGCCTAGGGGGAATCATCATTTTTGTTTATCAAAAAAATTCATTAATTTCGGTGTGTTGTAGAAGATATCCACTTTTATCCACTCATATTCACGGATATTCAGTGTTTCTTATTTTGACAGTTCAGCCGTTCTCACCAGCCGCAATCTTGAATTTTTAACACTACATGGAATTTAGGCTACTGTATTTGTTATTTTTACTAACCGAGAAAATTTTAAGACTCTTTAGGTCATTTTTTTGGACCGTAAACTTATTCATTTTAATATCCATATTTTTTATTTCAAATGAAGCAATTACGTCTAATTGCAAAAATGAAATAATATCATGTTTATGTAAATTCAATTTTGAGATAACTCAAAAAAAAATTGACACTTTTTTCGTTGCTAATGTGAAATAATGTACGATGACCATTCACATTGAACGTACATTAAAACCATAATTGAAGAATACAATATCATCATATAAATTTATTTGATTATTTTTGACAATATTAGAATGATTTGCATACAAAAAGATTAATTTGATAATATAGTTTTTTCCTGGTCTGCAGTTTGATCTACACGTCAATTCGAAAATCATTTAATCCCGTGTGAAAAAAAAAATGTTGATTGAATTCATGTTTTTGTTCTAAGAAAATCACTTTGTCCCAAATTAAGCAACTAAGATTGACTTGTAACTTCAAATGATTTCAGTTAACTATGATAGACTTACACTTTACTTTGTACTGAAATGTCAATCAAAGAAAGTAATTTTCGTCCGAAATCAGTTAACTGACTGCTCAGTTACAATATTTGCACACGGGATATCACCTCAATATTATTGCGGCATAAACCATTTTAAAAACATTTTCAGAACGCTTCATACAAATCAACGAGCTTCTTTTATTTAACACGCAATTTCGACGCTGAGTGATCATATTTTTGGTGTTTGAATCAATACAGAAAGCAAATGGATAAAATAAGAAAAATCAATATTTTGAGATGAACTAGCGCGATGCTTGTAAACATCGGGTAAAGCATGGATCATCTGAATATTGCCCGTTTTATACATATCTAATGATATCTACTATTTTTGTTTAAATTGAAAAAAAAATATTATAAAATCTGTTATTATTTTCAATTATCACAAGCGTGGTCGCTGGTCAGCCCCTAGATCACAGTGCTGTGAAGATTTGGAGTTTTATCGGATTAAGATTAAAAAAAAATGAAATTGACATTCATAAGTTCCATTTTCATACATGAACTACAGTATATTATTCTGAGAAGAATTTCTTAGAAGAAGAAGAAGAAGAAGATAGTAGTTTGTTACATTCAAATGTTTACAAAAATAATTTGGGAGATTTATTGGCCCCACGTCAATGCTAAGAAAACACAGCTTGAAAGTACATAGCGGAGATTTTGTCGTCAACCAATAGCTGACAAGTACAATATATATTTATGTCAATGTCATTGTCTAAGATATGAGTGACGCGTTTCTGAATATTTCATATGGAAATTCCGATTTCTGCCTATTTCACTTGGAAACAAATCATACACGATTCAAAACATTTGCTAGGCATGCTCGGTATTTGTCTGTTTCAAGAATTTGATATTTTGAAATACAGTGGGCCCTCGGAAATTAAAACATTCAGAAATTAGAAGAAACAACAACAAATACATTAAAAAGAGCTTCTAATTTTAGAGGTACGAATGCATTGCTCGAGCGATAAACTACTTCGAATTTTCGAGGGCTCATTGTACTAATAAATCAAGAAATACATCAATTCTCATTTTTCAGTATGTTTGATATACATCGATGGAAACAGAATAGTTTTTGTTTTTGTTATAAATGAAGGTTTCCGTTACATTCGAAGTACAATTTATCTGGGCGCCAGAAATAGTTCCACCAATAATTTTCCAGCAAATTACAAATGTGTTAAAATGTACCAACTGTAAATTGCCGCTATTTATGTACTTACTGTGTGTTTGTGTCTTTTTGACTATCTTGCACGAAAAGTACAACCTTGAAAGTCAAAGTCATGGTGAAAAATACAATTAATAAAGTCCAATAATTCTGAAAATGTCTTTATATTTGCATATTCTTGTTTGTCCGGCAATTGGCCGGCATTCAGAAAGAATTTGGTAAGCATTTCCGTCTGAAAATCAGCAAGATCGCTTTATTCGTATATAAATACATGGGAACGATTTGATGTAAGACGCAAAGATGACCTCTACGCGGTACAACTGTCCATAATATATTGAAAGTGAACCTTGTCGTTTACGCACACAGTGTCACATACATACACGAAACACAAACATCAAATGTGGCCATGTACTATAATAATTTTAAGCACGTCTAAAGAGTCAATGTGGTTTTTGACTTACTAACAACGCGAGCTTGCAATCAGAGAGACATACAATCAAATCAAATCTGGCACCTTAGTCCAACATCATTCATTTGAATCTACATTAATTGATATTTTGTGAGTTAATTGGGTTACCCAATTTGGGTATGGTAAAATGATTGTATTAGAAAAATGCAGTGATATATTTAGGTAACAAGAAGTTGCTAGAACTTAGAGTATGGCCACCAATAAGATTTTGAAAAATGAACGGAGCTCGATAAACTTGATCAAGTACACATATTTCTTGGTCATTGCTGGTGCCCTATATTGAAATGTATGAATAAAATGTTCAGTTATGAGCCATAATTTTAACAAAATACACTATCAATAGCCAACCTTTAATCATTCGCTTATCTCCGACTTTAATCCCATAAAATCCCACTAAAATAAGTTTAATTGAGATGGATAAGTAAGCAGGAATATTTCAAAAACCAAAATGGAATAAAAAGATTAATACAAATGAGTTCGAACTAAAAATTAAATAAAATCCGAAAATAATCATGATTAAAACATATAAAAACATACCCCTTTCAGTTCAAATTGATAATAAAAGGCAATTCCGTAGTATGTGATATGGTTTAGATTTTGACGTTGATTGTCGATTTTGACGCAAAAATTCTTGGATTTCCATTAAAGCGTAGCACGATAATGTCATCATTCTGGTGAAATTGCCTGTCACGAGACATTATTCCGACGAAAATAATGACAAAACAATCACAATAATAACGTCTCCATCACACAACAAATAATCTAGACGTAAACTATGCAAAAAAAGAATATAAAGCAATTCTCTATATTAACCAGGTTCATTGAACGATTCAATTCACAAAATTCCGTCGAAAAAGAAAGAACGAAAATAGAGACCAAATCGATTTCATGACAAAACATGAGACTTTATTAAAATGAAAATGTGCATCATGTGACTGGTAATACAAACATATAAAAAAACGATTTACATGGAAAAAAATGGCAAAAAAAATTGTGTTCAATTATGAGCACTAGTCTTTTCATCGTGGTGGTTGTCGGTGTTGGCATCATTATCGATGGATCGAATGTCGTTGGCGGTTTGACTGCGGTTCATGATGCGATTTTTTTGCGGTCGTTTCGATGATGGTCGATGTTCGTCTTCGGTGACTTGCAAACTGGCACCATTGAAATTCAAATAGACGCGACCATTTTTGTCCGTGGAAATAGGAAGAATTTCGGTACAAATGCTTCGTTTGCGATTCTTCAGCTTTGGTGAGCTCAATGTGACTGTGCTATTGGTGATAATAGACGGACTAGGGCTGGTTGAACGACTCTCTGGCATTGAAGAATCCTCTTTGGACCCATCACCATCGCAGCTTCGATTTTGATCTTCGTGACGTTTTTGATGCTTTTTCCGTTTGTTTCGCAAATAGAATGGATCACGTTCTGAAGCTTTGACATACTGTTGCAGCGGCCGATTTACTCCCCATTTCGGTCGATCTTCAATTTTCATCGGTTCTCTCGCCTCAAGACACATATTTCGACCGCCAACCGATGCGCTGACGCAATCCTTTTCTGTGCACTTGCCTTTTGACGTCACATGATTCACTGCTACTGATTTCATATCTTCACCACAATTTGATGACAAATCTTTAACGATCACATGGTGATGATGGCATTGATGGTAACGACATTGAAAACAATACTCGAATTTCTTGTCGGTTTGGGTTGAAGCGTCCATTACATGGCACACCTCTTTGGATATTTCATCGCCATTTTGACGCACCTCACGAGGGACCGAAGCATCAAAGTCTTCGGTCACGGTGGCGGCATCTTTTGTTTGTGCTTCATCGTTCAGATGTACCTTTCGGGGTGGAATTGAGAGAAAAGGTCATTTTAATTCATTTTTTACGTTTGAAGTCCATTCAAATCATTTTAAACTAATTTTCATCATTTTAGGCTCATTTTTTAACATTCGAGGCTCATTCTTGACCAATTATTTTTTTTAAACTTTCTCATTCCTGCACAAAAATGCTTTAAAAAAGCTCCCTTCGATGCAAAATAGGACAAAAATGAAAAATCAACGGTTTTTTGAATTCTTATGCTAAATTCTACACTCAACATCTTTCAATATCCTAACCTGATCCCGTTGCTGCGCAGCCATTCGATTGAAGCCGGTGCACTGCTTGCATACCTCCATCGCAGTCGAATCGTTGCAGTCACTTCGACTCGACAGATGTTTTTCTTCCGGTGCACTAGTTTCGGTGGTTTTAGATAGTTCAGGCAGTTGATTTTGATTTTGTGCGATGGTTGTATTCAACTGTTGCATTTGATGCGCCAGCATAACGGCCAGTTGAATATTGCTTGTGTTCAAACTGTTGATGTTTTGATTGAGATTGATGATGTCATTGCTTAAAATTGGCATAATCGGTGGAAGTGTTTGTAAAACCAGGGCAATTCCGTCAACATTTGTTTCGGGCGCTGTGGTTGGCTCTTTGTCGCTCTGCACGGATACTTCTTTCTTGGCCGATAGCGGCACTTTTTGCGGTTTGTTCAATGTTTTCTTTCGCATTTTAATCGGAGTGCCAATGAGGATTTTTTCACCATCATCCGTATTATGATCGTCGGTTTCGGTTTTATTATCGATCGGAGATGGTGATGATTTCGTTCGAGTTGTTGTGATGTCTTGGTCATCGAGCATGTCGTCACTTGGCTCGGGCGATTCACATTCAACCGTTAAAATCGATCGTTTTTTCTTCGATTTTTCCATTTCAGCTTCCTGTCGCGCTTTTTCGATGGCTATTCGCATTACCTCCTGTTTGCGTTGTTCTCGTTCCAATTTTTCACGGGTTTTTCGCTGCTCTTCTTCGTATCGTTGCTCATTCGATTCCATCTGCTGGCGTAGTTTTTCCTCTTGGCGACGCTCTTCCATCAACGTTTTTTCCAGATCCATTTTTCGGATTCGTTCACGCTCTTCGACCTGTGCTTTTATTGCATTTTGCAATTCGAGGGCTTTGATTCGACGGTTTGTTCGTTCTGCCAACACATTTGGATCGATTGGCGCATTTTGACCACGGATAAACGAATAGGATCTGATACAGGGAAGGAAGAGAAGTTTTTCAAATCCAATTAATTTTCGTTGATTTTTCGGTTCGAAATTGGGTGGAAATGCAAAAAAGTAATTAAAAAAGGGCTTACCTAACAGACTCATCTCCACTATCAACAAATCCACGTTCCAACCAACATGGTCCATCGGATTTCACGCTACTCTCCTTCGAAACGGTGTCATAAAAATGATTACTACGGTCACCCCATTTGGCTCGCTCTTCTTTTTCCTTCCGAGACGGTGGACATGATGAGAGCCGCGAATAATTTCGGTTATCCGAACACATGGACGATGGTGTTCTAAGAAAAAAGCGCATATCTATTAGTACAAAATCTATAACACTTGTCGCAAATTTCCTTATTAAATGGAAACAAAGTTATCCCCATTAAAACAATCGATTATAAAATGGATTTTTCATTTTTTTCCAGAGAATCATTTCAGCATAGATATTCAGTTTACAACTGAATTCTCAGTAATTGAATGCAGTCACTGTGCGTCGCTGTGAGTAAGCGGGCGCTCTACATTCAAGTGCGGACGTGCATATACATTGGTTTACACTCAATTGTGAGTATGCGTGCGAGAGAGGAGAAAAGAGAAAAGGACGAACAACATGTGTCGCATTGAACGATTTGAGTGAACGTCGTCTTGACACAGTGTCAGTGTGGCGAATACTTACTATTTGTTTCTTCGAATCGTTGTTCCTTCTTCTTTTTCTTCTAACAAATTTGTTAGCACCACAAACACAACCAAAAGAGTTAAATTCCAAAACTAAACACAACAAACCAATAATCAAACATTGCTCTGTATAACTTTTGAATTTGATTCTTTTTCTTGCGTTTGTGCTGTTAACAAATTTGTAAGAAGAAAAAGAAGCAAGAACAACAATTCGAAGAAATAAAGAGTAAATATTCGCGATACTGACACTGTGTCAAGTGGACATTCACTAGCATCGCTCGATGCGACACATTTCGTTCGTTCTCTTCTTTTCTCTCCTCTTTGCAAGCACACTCACTCCGATTGAGTGTAAACCAATGTATATGCATGTCTGCGCTTGAATGTAGAGTGCCCGCTCACTCACAGCAACGCAAACAGTCACTGCATTCAGTTACTGAGAATTCAGCTGTAAACTGAATATCTATGCTGATTCTCTGTTTTTTTCTCTCTTTTTGCGATCAAATGCTTACTTCGGTATGCTGAAGTCCGTTTCATGTCCATTGTCATGGATTTCACGTGATGGTGGTGCTTGCTTATGTTTTGGAATTCGGCGACGCTCTTCAATTTTCATAGCGTCTATTTCTGGTGCCAATTCATCACCCGATGATGGGTAGATGTAGTTCGAAAAATCTTTCAGCAAATGCTGGTGTTGCGTTTGTGGTTGGTGTTGACTTTGATTCGGCCACATCATCGGGCTCAATCGATCGCTCAGGTAGCCCGATGTCTCTTCATCCGTATTTTGATGCACAAATTGATGATTGCTACGGGTTTGCGTTGCCATTTGCTTTTGTCTGAAATTTGAGATTGACATTTCTTCCTTGGAAATCATTTTTTTCACATTTCAAATATCATTTGTCCGAAAATGTTCAGAAACGAATTTTTTAAATATTTTCTTTTGATTTGTTTGGTGGCTTGAGGTGCTCACATTTTTCTAAGGGATCTTCAATAAGGGATTTTCTAGCTCTCTTCTCTTCCTTTTCGCACCGTAAAGAAAAAAGTTCGTTTTTTAGGGAAAAAACGTCCATTTTCTTTTGATAGAAGTTATGTTCGGTTTGGTCAACATTTCAACATTTTTCGGTTCTTTTTGTTGAAAAATTCACAGAAAAAAAACTAAAAAGGACACAAATTAACTAAAATTCCCGAAAATCCACGAAAAGTTTACGTATTTTCCTATTTGCGCTCCTATTTAGCGTATCTATAACTGATGAGAATAGATTTGTCCAATTTGTCGCTTAACAAATTGCTTATTTGATATGGGTTCGACTTGTTAGCTTCGGATAATTCGAATATTTGTGTATTAGACAGTATCAAATTCGGTTCTCTCTCTATCTTGATAAAATTGGTGCGAGGAATCATAGCTATTTCGAAAACCCGGTTATCAAAGGCTAGTAAGAAAAACTGTTGCTTTCAGTGCGTGACAACGCTCTTTTCTTCACATAAAATCATAAACATTATAAACGGCTTCTTCGTGGAACGTAGTGAAACCATTAATTTTACTCAAGTGATTTTGGTTTGGAAATGATTCCAATTTCCTTGGCAATCAACATTGAACAACAACAAAAAGAAGAAAAAGAATAATAACATACCTGTTATTGCGATTACCGATTGGCGGAAGAATTGGAGCGCGACCATGGTTAAAGTCAAGATTTTCTGTATTTTGGTATTGCGCTTCGTTATCGCAATACAAATCAGCCGCATACGGTCGACAACTATTGTGGCGTGGATCATTGTTATTATTGTGATAATTATGCGGAATATCGTACGGCTCCTGATTTGTATAATAGCTTGCTCTACGTGGTATTGTACTCGATTTCACACTCGAATTTGTCGACGAATTCATATCAACATTTGAGTAGTAAGTTCTGACGAATGAAAAAATTCAATAAATAAATGAAATCTTGGTTTTATTTAACTATTTTAGTGAAAGATGATTTCAAATGTTTTTTTTTTGGATGTACAATGTACATGTTATGAATAAAGACTTTTATAACAATATAGACGACAGTTCGGTCGATGAAGACTTATTTTAGTTTAAACTTGAGGAATTATATATATACTAATTTTGTATCCCCGCGCAATACATTTCAGGGTTAAATTTGTACTTTTCCGTAGGTTTGAACTTGAAGCAATGATTGTTATACTTAATGGAATTTTCCATGTCTCTCTTCAAAAAAAAATTAATACCAAAGCCAAAAGGTAATGACCTTTTCTATATCCAGCAAATGTTCTTCTGTAGAACTTGAACTGATAAAGAGTGAATAAAATGAAATGAGAATTTTTCTATAGGAAAATTTCCTTGTCGTGATTTATTTCAACTTTTTACATATATGTATATATGAGATATATATATATATATCAGTGAGTTTGAGAGTATCCTTTCTTGGTACGCGCATCGTGTATAACTAAGTTACTCTGTAACTGTTATCAAAAGTAAGATCTAAAATTTTGGTGAAAACAGTTATCACAAAATCGGCATTTTAAAGAAGGAGAAAAAACATACTCTGCTCTCAATCCCGTGTGGAAATAAAATGACTAAGAGTCACTCAGTTTCATGTAGCAGCAAAAAACTTTTGACTGGCTATTTTGATTGAATTCAAAAAAAAATTCATAAAAACAATCACGTTTAGCTATTCTTTCAGTCAGACTTCTAATTTCGGACATTTCAGTTGAAGAGTAGCCAATAGCTATCAGTCTAATATTGACTAAAGTTGACTACAGTTGTATATTTTGTTCGACTTAATCATCTTTAGTCAGTTATTAGCCAACCAAAATCGAAATCTGTTGAGTTAAAAAAAAATTCAACCCAAAATCTCACTCTTCTGAGTGAAAAAATGTTAAATAGTCTCCTGGTCGAATATGAGTGTAAATTTTCACATACCTATGAGCATACTTTCCGCGAAAATTGAGTATATTCTCCGTTTTCTGTCTTAGAATAAAATCTTAAAACATTTAATTTGATAGCATATTGAATATGATCATATCAGTAGTCCTTGTTCACTACTAAAGTACCCATTGATAATAGTCGATGTTTTCAACAAAAACAAATCGTTTATTATTTATTCATGCAAACAATATGCCGGCATCGAAGTGAATATCAAAATTGTAACCAATTGATATTTGTAACAAATGAATAGCATGGAAGTTATTGCTTGCTTTCCTTTAATTCATATAGTACATTTTCATATTTTTTCACATCTTTACGCTACTTTTCACGTTATATCATTAGCTAGTTGCAATACGAATAAAGTTCATGAACTACACTCAAATTTAAAGCATTGAATGAACTATAGGGATGGAAACATACAATTTGAAAAACGGTTCGCACTATCTCAATATTCATTGATCTTAGAAATTGTCCACCTTTTCATCAATGTAACAAAAATGCCAAAAAAATACTATAAAATCTGTTTTAAAAAGCCGTCAAATTGTTTGTATACCTGATGGAAGTCCGTTCAGTTCGTTCGAATTGGCGGGTCGTGGTTGTCGCCGAAAAGAAGTCGTTCAATTTCGAAAGTTCTTCTAAGAAAATGGATTTTTTAAGTAAACTCATTCAACAAACATCATACTAGCCACTATAATTGTGATCGAATCACAAATTTTACCTTTTTCTTTGGCCCACTGTAACTTTTTCTGTTCCAGCAATGACATATCTCGCATGATGTTCTGAATCAACCAGAATTCAACACAATATGCCTCAAAATTTCCGGTCAAATCAATCCTGGACTTATTGTTATGCCAATGGAAAAATCAAGTCAATTCCTAATACTCAACAATATTGATTGACCAAACTTCCACCAGTATCGTGACAACGGCCTTTTCACGACATTGTGAACTTGCTTCAAACGATACGGACTATTTGCAACTAACAGCCAGAACTCGCGCTACCGACCGTTTTGTTTAGGCGTTTATTTGCGGACAACGCGTTGTCATAGAAACCACAACAAACTACACCGTTTTCGATTCAACTGCTGGGAAAATCCATATTCACTTCGTATTTCAACGTCTACGTTGATATATTGGTTCAATGTACTCGCTGTTTATTCAGGGTAACTAACTAGTTGATATGAAGATAAGCTCAATTATACCTTGAAATAAACAAACACACTTTTCCATTTGGCGTTTTCATTCACAGAATGCCATTGAGACAACATCGGCTCTTGGTTTGTGGTTTAGCTCGGTGATTGAGGTAGTGGTAAATGGCGGTTCGTTGACCTGTCCCAAAATAAACACTTCTTTTTTGCTTCCATATGCCACACAATTGTTTGGAAATTGAATTTAAACAAATGTGTAATTTTCCAACTTTCAGACTATTTTGCACCGCTAAAGCGGAATCATTTGATTATTATTGTGCTACAAAAACTATCAAAGAGCGACCAACAAAAATTTTATCCATGTTTATTCACGTTCAGATTTGAATCCTGATTTTGAACTTATTTCTATTGGTATGGACGATTTATTATTACTACTATTATTATTATTGTATTGAATTCATTCAATGAATTTCAATGAAATGAGTTCTCTGAATCAATCAATTAAATTCATTGACTCTTGTCTTCTACTCCTTCCAAATTGAAAATTCCTACTAATGAACCGAAACGTTCAAATTAAATGATAATAATTGTAATAAAGTAGAATGAAGACTTATGTTGGCTATTAGTTGTTGACTAACTAAGAAACTGCGTTCATTATCCTGTGTTATAAACTGCGTTCATAGCCCTCATTCTATATCGCACTCAAATATAGAATATACATACACCCATAGATAGGTTAAATGACTTTGAATTGAGGAATGCTAAAACTTGTTTTCCGATGGTCATGGTCAGAAAAACTGAGAATAAATTCTTTATTCTAATGGATATGAAATTATACCTTATTAGTGCATTATACTTTACATTGGTGGTTGAGTTTAACAAGACCACCCACTATTGAGGAGCTACCACTTCGTTTTTATACTGAATGTAGCGCCAAAACAATTAATGAAAGTGCATTACTCTATCCAAAACAAATTATTCGACTATTTAGTCGAACAAAGTACTCTACTCCCCTTCTCAGTCATAAAAATCAAAGTCTTGGTTTAATCAGGAAAATTGTGAATTTCTGATAGAATATTCTAATTTTCATAAAACTTAATAGTGGCAACCGATTTTCCTGATTTTTTTTTCAACAGCCATAAATGTGCAGTAAAACGTAAATATGTTTTTGGAAAGTTTTTACCTCACAAAAATTAATATGTAGTATTAATATATTTTCAATTAAAAATAATAAACTGGTGCATTTCTGGAGCAATGACAAAATTGTGTAATGATGGTTGGTTCAATTAACCCATTTTCTACCAAGGTGCAAAAGTGGGTTCGAAATGAGTAACCAATAGTCTATCTAGCATAATTTTCCCCTGGAAACTCCGAAAAAACTGTCATATGGAAAATTTTTGTTTGCAGTTTTTCCGGAAAATGGATTTTCCGGAAAACCATATTTTTGTAGGCTCACAAACTGATCGATTTTTCGAACATTGGTCATTAGCCCGGGATTCTTTATTATCTTTAAATCCACCCTGGGCTTCCCTAAGTACCTCCTGAACATAGGCCCAGAGGACTTACACATTTTGAAAAATAATGTTCAACACTTGCTTTTTGAGTATATGTCTGTTATTTTAGCCTATCTCTGGGTCGAAATATGAATAGGGATGGCCTTTGTTCGAAAAATCGAACGCTGGTAGAAAATGGGATAACTTCTGATTTAAAATGAGACGATTAATAAAGAAAATCCATCTCTAAATTATTTATTAATGAATCGATTGAATTAAATCGAAGCAATGGCTCTGCCGCAGGCTAATTTTAGTTGATAATTTCTTTGTTTGTGGCGTTGACATGAGTTTTCCTTATTTTTGTAGTGCTTTATAATGGAACACCGAGTGTGTCCAAGATGTCGCAACCACAAATAAAGAATAATAATTATCGACTTAAAAATTAAAAGGTGTTACAAAAATCTGTCCAATTTGCTAGGCAATTTGTACAGGTGGGCGTTTTGCGATTACTTAATCACTTGCACCATCATTTTTCGGATGATTAAGACGGCACTTAATCACTTAATCGCTATTAATCATGATTAAGTGATTGTGCAA